GTATAGGAGACTTTGGATTTTAAATTTCTCTTATTGTTGATATCTTTCTCTTTATTTTTTAATTAGAAAATACATTTTTACAACATAAACAAAACATAAAAACAATAAGGGGAGATTACAATCTCATATAAAAACATTAACATTTTCCTCTTTTTTTCTTTCAATTTTGTTTTTACAATCTTATTTCTAGTCATACTTCTAAACTTTCTGATTATATAAAACTTGTAAATAAAGATTCTGATCTTTTTATAATTTTATTTAATTAAATTAATTTTTACAATTGTAATTTTATATTCTGATTTTTAATTATTTTATTTTACAACTTTTCTCTTTACAATTGTAAGTTTTATATTAATTCTGATTTTTTTAAATTCTGATTTTTTACAATTTCTGATTTTTTACAAATTCTGATTTCTTTACAACTTTTGATTTTTTTACAAATTCTGATTTTTTACGTATTCTGATTTTCTTACAAACTTTACAACTTTAATTTTATTAATTTTTGTTTTTACAAATTCTGATTTTTTAAATTAATTCTGGTTTTTACAACTGATATATTTCTACAAATTCTGATATTTTTGTTTTACAAATTCTGATATTTTTTACAAATTCTGATTTCTTTTATTTTTACAACCTTCTTTATATATTCTACAAACAATGTTTTGTATTTTTAAGCATTTTCTGTTTGTTAAAAGCATATCATTAAAAATATAAAAAGAGAACGGGTAAAGAAGAGAAAGATTAGTAAAGGTGATCGCGCGTAAATATGTACATATATATTTTCGCAACAATATTTTTAATGTCTTTCAAAATATTTTGGGTGTTGTGTTTTTATGGCGCATTTTCTCTCGTCAAACATTTTTATTTATTATTTAAAGTGTCATTTTCTTTAAAAAGGGTTGTTGTTTAGATTAAAAATAAAAGTTTGGGGTAATTTTTATTAAAAGAGAGGGCACACATAAAAAGAGGTACGGGGGGGGGGGGGTTTAGATTAGGTAAAAATAAAAGTTTGGGGATAGGGGAAGGGGTAATTTTTGTTAAAAGGGACGAGGTAGAGGAGGGGTGAGGAGGATAATAAAATTAATGTTTAACACAAAACAACTTTTTTTCGCGCATCTTACAAGAAAATAATATAAAATAAAATGAACGATCAGATTAAAATAAAGAAAAAAAATTTTTCTTGTGGAAAATAGAGAGGTGAAGGGATGATTTTGAGGGATTAAATTAATAAAAATAAGAAAAAAAGATTTTAATACACAAATAATTTTAATTTACCAAACTTAATATTTTTTAAAATATTTATTTTTTTTTAAATTGATTAATAGGCCAATGAACAAAATAAAAAATAGTTTTTGGATTGTTAAAAAATTTTTTTTTGTAAAAATTAGATTTTATCTTTATTTTATTTTTACTTTTAAATTTTCTCATTTTTACTAGTATTTTTATTTTATATATTCCATTAAAAAAATTTTTTTTTAGAAACCTTTTAAAATTTATTTTTTATTTAATTTATTTACGATACATATTTTTAATCTTTTTTACACCTTCCAAAAATTTTTCTTTTTACTTCAAATTTTTTTTTCATTTTTTTAGACTTTTAATCCTTCTCTAAAGGATACATTTTTATTTTCTTGGGAAATATTTTTTTTTTAGAATTTTTAAAATAAAATAGTTGGCGCTATATCTATTTTTTGCCAGTTAATTTTTGCGCGATTAAAAGGCTAGAGTTTTTTTGGTTGAAAAAAATTTTTTGTGGCTAAAAATATTTATTTCAACAACTAGAGAAAGGCTAAAATATATTTTATTAAAGAAAAATTGCTGGCAAAAAAATTAATTTTTTTTAGTCGAGCAAAAACCGCATTTTTTCCCATTTTTCAGCGCGTTTTGGGACAACAAAGAAACTGAAAAAAAAATTTATTTTTTAGCAAAAAATTAATGAAAGATTTGTTAATTTGTTTGTTTCCTGTTGTTGACATTTTTTAAATGTGGGAATATGTGGTGGGTATTGTTGTTTGGATTTTTTATTAATTAATTAATTACTAATTATTTTTTTTATTTAAATGGTTAAATTAATATTGGAAGAAATAAATTAATAGGATTTTTAAAAATATTTTTTAGAAAAATATTTTTTTATATTTTTTCGGGAGAACTAAAAAGTGGTTTTTGTCAAAAATTTCTTTTTAATTTTTTTAAATTACTTGGAAAAAATATTTTTTTAATAATTTTTATTTTTTGGGAGAGCTAAAAGGGATTTATAAAAAACTTTCTAATTTTTTTTTGTTTTTTAGAAGTATTTTTTGAATATTTGTTAAATTAAGTAAGAGAGAAAAGAAATATCTATAATAATTTAAATTCTGATTTTTACTAATAATTCTGGTTTTCAAATTCTATTTCTTTCAGCTTTCTTTTTTTATTTTTAAATTTAAATAGAATTGTGAAAATATTTTTACTATCCTTAAAGTATTTTAGACAGATGTGTATTTTTATATTTATATTAATATTTTTTTGACTGATGAAAGATTAAGTAATATATTTTTTAAAAATAATATAAGAGTGAAAATAGAAGCTTTTTTCTTTTGTTTTTAAAAATTAAATTTTCCTTCTTTTCTTTTTTTTTAAATATTGTGTGTCCTTAAATAAATACATACACAACACGTTTATTATTATTAATTCTTTTTATTTTATTTTTTCTCTGCGGGATACCAAAATTTTTTTTTAAAAATTCCTTTAAAAGAGATTAATTCCGGTATTTTTATTTTATGTAAATATAAATAAATTTTGAACTAAATATTTAAATGTATTTATCCTGAAAACAATAACAATACATAAATTATAAATTAAATACTAAAAAAGAAATAAAAATAACCAGAAATTGTAAAATTAAGTATTAATATATATTTACTTTGCAGAATTTAGTATAGCAGAATTTAAATAAAATTAAAAATATCAGAATTGTAAAATTGTATAAATCAGAAATTTTGAGATTTTATTTTAAATTTTGAAAATCAGAATTATTTAAATAACAGAATTTGTGTAGAAAATCAGATTTATTATTAAATCAGAATTATTTTAAAAAACCAGAATTATTGAAAAAAATCAGAATTATTAAAAATCAGAATTATTTAAGAATGTAAGAATTAATGTAGGAAATCAGAATTTTTAATAAAACCAGAATTATTCTAAAAAATCAGAATTATTTTAAAGAAATCAGAATTATTAAAATCAGAATTTATACTATTTTTTTTCCTCTTCCAAGTTTAAAAAGACGTCCAATTTTGTGTGTTTTTTTCTGCTCTATTTAAAACAATACATTTAAAAAAATAATTTTCACTAAAAACTTTACACACGCCAAACTTTATTTTCTTTATTATTCATTTAAAAATCCTTCAACAATTTTTTTAAAAATTTTATTTCTTTTATTTTTTAATTTTTCCTCATAAAAAATAATTAATTTTTCCTCATTTTTCCGTTATTTTTTTCAAATTTACACACAAAATTATTTTTTATATTTTAGATGAGTTTTAAAAACGCGTGCTTTTTATTTTTTATTTTTGAAAATCTTCCGACATTTTTTCATCCAGTTATATTCCTTCCGGCCTTTTGCTTAATGTGTTGTTGACTTTTTTAAAAACAAGAGAGACAAAGAAGCCATCATACACTAAAAGTATTAAAAAAATAATTATTTTTTTTATTTAAAAATTAGGTAATGGGTAGTAGAGAGGGAGGGAAAAAATGGAAATTATTTTTTTTTTGAAAAATTAAATGTGAGTATATGCTATTTGTTTTTAGCTTTAAAAATTTTGGGGGGGGGGGGGGAGAGAAGGGAAAGGGTAAAATAAAAATGATTTTTGATGACGGATGATGATGAACTTTTTTTAAAGTTTTTAGGCCCTTTTTCGGTAATTTTTGGACATTTTTGGACATTTTTGAATTAAAGTTTAAAGTAAATTGGTGAATTTATTAATATTCAAAAATATAAAAGGACGAAGAAAATTTTGAAAAAAAATTAAAGATTAAAAAATATAAATTTGGACATGTGTAAAAGATGAAAAAATAGTAAAATTAAAAAGAATAATTAATAAATTAGGGAAACGAATTAAATAATAATAAAAGAATTTTTTTGTGTAAAAGAAAAGTATTTTTTTTTGAAATTATGTAATTGTAAATTATATATTTGAATTATAATTTAAAATAAAAACACAAGTTTATTACAAATTGTAATTTGTTTGTCAAACAAAAACACAAGTATATTACAAATTGTAATTTGTTTAGGAAACAAAAACACAAGTTTATTACAAATTGTAATTTGTTTGGGAAACAAAAACACAAGTTTATTACAAATTGTAATTTGTTTGGGAAACAAAAACACAAGTTTATTACAAATTGTAATTTGTTTGGGAAACAAAAACACAAGTTTATTACAAATTGTAATTTGTTTGGGAAACAAAAACACAAGTTTATTACAAATTGTAATTTGTTTGACAAACAAAAACACAAGTTTATTACAAATTGTAATTCGTATTTTTAATATATAAACATTTTCCGGAATTGTAATATGTAAACTTATTCTTTCCGGAATTTTAATTATAATTTTTTTTTATTTACAATTACAAGTTTTATTTTTCTTAAGAATTACAATTTGTACTTTTGTATATGTAAATATTATTCCTTTCCAGTATTTCTATTTGTACTACATACATACTTTTTCTATATTTACAATTTGCAAGTTTTCCGGAATTGTATTTAACATAAACTTGTTTTTTAATTACAATTTGTAATGTTTCCGGAATTTGTAAATGTAAATATATGGAAAGTAAATATTACGAATTGTGATTCCGGATCAGAAAACAAGACTATTCAGGAACTTGTTTTTTAAGAATTACAATTTGTATTGTTTCGGAATTGTAAAAACAGTTAATTTTTCCCGATTTTTAAAAAAATTGCCCAAAATTAAAATAAATTTGAGAGTTATTATGTAAAACTCCCATTAATTTTTAAAATTTTCAGATCTCACTTTGGCTACACAACTTTGTTCAATTCAAGCTGCTGCCTGTCTTCTATTTTGCGCCTTACGCAGTCGAAGACAACATTTATTTGAGGAAGGGGAATTGATGATTAGGCGATATTTTTGTATTGATGACATTAGGTTTGGGAGATTCTCAAAAAATTTTTTTGAAAAATTTTTTTAAAGTTTACTTGCCCCATTCTTTGGATTAATTGCAACAACAATGGGAATTTCTCCTGATAGTTTAGCTTTTGATGTTTCAAAACTTGTTGGCGGCGTCAATGATAACAGCAAAAACAAGGATGAGAAGAAGAGGAAAAGTTGTTCTGATTGGACGTTGCTATTGGCTGGAATTTAGGTAAAAAAATGTTGGAAAAGAAAATTTTTACTTGATATTTTTTAGAGTTATGATGAGATTATAAATAAAAAAAATTTTTTTTTGTCCGGAAATGTCCCATCCCGAGAGGAGCGATTGCCTTTAAAAAATATTAAAATTTTCAAAAAATATTCCCCCTCAACCTTTAACATTTTTAAAAATTAAAATTTATCAAAATTAAAAATCCCCTTACTAAAAATTATATAATCTTTTTTTATCTCCCACCAATATCAAACTAACCCTTTCCCCTTTATTTGGCACGCTATACTCAAGGCGGGATGCGCTTTTTATGTTTTTGATTGTTTATTAAAACAATTGTAATTTTATTACAAAAATGTTTTTACAACTACAAAAACAAAAAGTTGTAGTTGTAAAATGTTTAAGTTTTAGAAACATTTTTTATATTTGTAAATGTTTGAGTCAAAACATTTTACAAATACAAAATTAAATTCATAATTGTAAAATGTTTTACAAACTTAAAATTAATCAAAACAAACATTTTTATCGAAACAAACATCAAAACAAACATTTTGATCAAAACAAACATTTCTATCAAAATAAACATCAAAACAAACATTTTTTTGTAAAAACATTTTGCAATTACAATTTTAATTTCGTATTTGTAAAAACATTTTTATAATAAAATTACAATTGTTTTTTACCAACATACAAACATATAAAAATATAGACATTTACCGGAGATAAGTTTGTGATTAGTAGTCATACTTTTGATTATTCGTTTATTTATTATATATTTATTTTATTCATTTTCTTTTCACATTTTTCATCTACTTATTTTGTTGTACATGGTCTTGAACTTCATTATATTTTCTTTAAAAATAACTCAATATTGTTTTTTTTTGTTTTCTGCCAGTATACAATATTTTTAAAAACAGAAACTCACACTTGATTTTTTTGCGACACAACATATTTTTGATTTTGTTTATATTTATTTTTTGATTTATTTTTTTGTTTTACACACTATTATCAGATTTGTAAAAAAAGTTGGAAACATTTACAAATTGTAATTTGTTCAAGTATTCGCAATTCCGGAAACATAACAAATTGCAATTCTAAAAATAAAATAAAAATTGTATTCCGGAAAAATAATTTTTTACAATTCCGGAAGAGTTACAAATTGTAATTCTGATAATATACAATTTCTATCTCTTCCGGAATTGTAAAAACAATATTTTTTTGATTACAATCTTTATTTTATTTTCAGAATTACAATTTGTAATTTTTTCCGGAAAGGTTCCGGAATTGTAATTTGTGTTTCCATTCTTTTTCTTGATTTTTTAAAGTTTACAATTCTCTTGCACAATTATATATGTTTTTAGCTCTGGTTTAAACTCAGTGCTTTTTCTTTAAACAAATGTTTTTCTAAATGTTTTTCTCTAGTGTTTTTAACTTTTGTTTTTAACCTTTTTTTCGTTGCTTTCCACACAAAACATTCCAAATTGTGAAAAACATCCTAACACCTTAACAATTATATTTTACAATTGTATTTTTTTTTCTTGCTCATATTTTTTGTTTTACCACTTGAATGTTTTTGTCAAGTTTTTGTTTTCTTTAAATTTTGATAAAACAAAAAATAAAAACTTGATAATCACCAAAACATGCCTTAAAAACCACTTAATTACACACCACTTATTCAGGTTGCGAACTACTTTTGTTGTGTTCGATTGGTCTCAACTCGTGTATTATACACAAAAAAATTTTTTTTTATCTTTTAACCATTTTGTAATACCCAAAAATTAAATTTTTTGATGTCTAGAAATTAAAAAAATTTTCTTGGGTATTACAACTTTATACCACAAATCAATTTATTTATTTCATATGAACTACCACATAAAAAATTCATTTTTTCAATGCAATCTCAATCGGTATATACATATTAATTTTTTGGCAATTAATTTTCACTTAAGATTTTTGTACATTCTATTAAAAAATTTTTTTTGTTATCGCGTAATTGATTTATTGTTTTTTTTGCCAATTTTAACCAATATAACAACTTCACTTTTTAATCATTGCCTGCCAACATTTTTCCTTCTCTGCCTTTTTTTGTATTTTATTATTCACCTGTATTTATTTAAATTCCGGTATAAAATTTTTGAAAGGATTAAAGTTTATTTAATTTACAAATTGTAAATTGTTTGCAAAACAAATTAAGTATATCAAAACATGTTTCTCTCTTAAAAACATTTTTCCAACTAAAACAATTTTTCCGGAAAACATTTTCCGGAAAATTAGTTTGTAAATGAAACGAACATTTGTAAACTTGTTTTTACAAATGTTCGAGTTTTACAAATTAAAACTTTTCCGGAAAACATTTTCCGGAAGACTATTTTGTAAATAAAACAAACATTTGTAAACATGTTTTACAAATTAAAACTTTTCCAGAAAACATTTTCCGGAAGACCTGTTTGTGAATAAAACAAGCATTTGTAAAACTTGTTTTACAAATTAAAACTTTTCCGGAAAACATCTTTCAAACATGTTTTACAATTCCTTAATGCAATAACCATCACATGATTATTGATCATTAATTAACATTAACTGGTGCTGGTTTATCTTGTATATTTTTCCTCATGTTAAACAACTAGCGGGGTAAATTAATAATTATTTTATTCTTATCAGTTAATTATTTTATTTTTTTACTTTTGCAAAAAAATTCTGTGTACACCATACACTTAAATATATTTACCCTTTTTAGTTTTTAATTTATAAGAATGCTTCGTGGACAAAACTCTCACTTAGTACGTTCAGACCAAAAGAGCGATTTGACTGGTTTAACCGATTCCAAAATAAATCAACGACCGTGGTACCACTTCTCTTCAATGTCCATTATGCACAAATGTTTGTTAATTATGGCTGTATGTTTTGCATCTTTAATGGTTGTTGCAATAGTCGGGGATAGTAAAGAGCATATCGAGCTGCCTAATGTTACTAGTGGATTTACTGAAGACGGTTAGTTGTTTGTGTTTTTGTTGATGTTTGTTTTGTGTTATTCATTTTTGTGTTTTTCCATTTGATAATGTTTTTCTACAACTTGTTTTACAGTTTGTTTGTTTTACAACTTGTTTAAGAAACAATATTTATGTTGTTTGTGTTTTTGATTTCAATGTTCGTTTCGTGATGTTTGTTTTTGTGTTTTTCTATTTACAATGTTTTGTCTACAACATGTTTTACAATTTGTTCATTTTACAACTTGTTTTAGGAAAGAATGTTTCTGTTGGAAAAACTTGTTTTGTTTCTTTGTTTCTGTTAATGTTTGTTTTGTTTTCTAAGTTTCTTTTTGTGTTTTTCTGATGTTTTACAATTGTAACGTTTAGTTTATGTTTCTCCCAACTTTTTTTTAAATGTTCGTTTGGTTACTATTTTGTTTGTCTGTTCTTACAACTTGTTTTTACAAACTTGTTTACCTTTTACAACCTGTTTTACAATTTGTAATATTTCAAGTTTATTTTATAGACATCAGAAAACTTCTTTTCTCCTCGTTTGATTCTAACAAAATGACAGATACATTGAGAATGGTAACACAACAACCTCACCAGGCTGGTACAGAAGAGAATAGGCGTGTTGGGCAAAAGTTGGCAGAATTATGGAAACAGAATGGATTGGAAAGTGAATAAAAAAATTTTTTTTCGAATTAAATTTTTTTCCTAAATTTTTCAGAGGTTCGATTGATGGAATATGATGTTTTGCTTTCTTATCCAAACTGGACAAATCCAAATAAAGTAACTGTTCTTGGGGAGGATGGAAAAGTGTTGTTCCAATCAACTGGCCTCAGTCCCGACTTGACGCCTAAAAATGAAGACTCCTCTTTAAATCAAGAAGATTCCTATCGTGCTGCTATACAATGGCTAGCATACAGTGCGAATGGAACAACTGAAAGTGAACCTGTCTACTGTCATTATGGCCAACCTAAGGATTTTGAACGTTTGGAAAAGGAATTTGGAATTTCAAGTCTACATGGTAAGCGTTGATTATTACAAATTGTAAATTGTAAACGTTATTACAAATTGTAAACGGAAAGTTGGGAACAAAAACCGCAAATTGTAAGTTCCTTGAACATGTAAATTTTGGGAAACATACAAATTGTAATTTATAAATTGTAATTTATACGAACTTACAAACTTTCCGGAAAACATGTGAGTAATTTGTTTTGTAATTCCTGAAAACAATTGCAAAACATTAAAATTGTATTACAAATTGTAAAAGGAAAGCTGTAAATACACAAATTGTAATTTCCTCGAACATAAAAATTCCGGAAAACACACAAAAACACAAAAACATTTTAATTAATTGTAAAACATTCAAATTGTAATTTCCTTGAACATATAAACTCTGGGAAACACACAAATTGTAATTTATACGAACTTACAAACTTTCCGGAAAACATGAGTAATTTCTTTTGTAATTCTCGAAAACAATTGTAAAACATTCAAATTGTAATTGTAAAACATATTGTTTCGTTTGTTCAGGCAAAATTGCAATAATTCGTTATGGACTAGACTACCGTGGTGATAAAGTAAAACATGCAGCCGCAAGGGGTGCTGGTGCTGTAATAATATTTTCTGATCCTGTAGAAGTTGCTGGGCAAGGGCCTGAAGCTGGTAAAAGAAATTTAAAATTTTTCTTTAATTTTTGAAAAAGTCTTTCCTCAAACTGATTTACTTCCACCTAATGGGGTACAACGCGGTTCTATACTCGAAAAAGATGGAGATGTGTTATCTGGGTTGTTGCCTGCTCGAAACGATTTTCAACGAATTATGACTATAGAACAGGTGTAGGAATGCTTTTATTAGTATTTTTTTAAATTTAATTTTTGGAGAATCACAACCGCAGGCAACAACCCAAACAATCATTATTTTTTCTGAAATTTTTTTTTTGAATTTTTGAAAAAATATTTTTGGACTCGAAATCCGTCTTAGACTACTTTCTATTATTTTTAAAATTTAAATAAAATTTCCCCAAAAATATTTTTTTCTGTTTTAGACAAAACATTTCCTCACAGTACATGGCTTCCTTCACATGGAGTTCAGCGTGGTTCTGTTATGGCTATGAAGGGTTAACATTAATTTATTTTCTTTTAGCAACTAAATTAAGCATAGTTATTAGTCATGTTATTCTTTTAATTAAAGGTGACCCATTAACCCCTTTGTTGCCTGCGCGGCGTGATTTTCCCAAGGGAAGGACAATACAACAGGTGTTGAAGAAATAATTTTTTTTGTCAATTAAAAAAAATTTTTAAGGCAAAAAAGGATCATTATCTCCCAAATATCCCCGTCCTCCCTCTTGGTTATGCCGATGTCATTCAAATTCTTGAACGAATGGGAGGCCCTCAAGTACCCGAAGATTGGCGTGGGGGATTAAATATTACTTATCGTATTGGTCCTGGATTTAAACAAAATGGGAATAAAAATGATGCAAAGAAATTGAGAGTGGATGTACATTCTACGTTGGAAATTAAGTAAAAAATTTTGAGAAAAAAAATTTTTTTGAAAATTATTTTTTAAAGAAAAATCCAAAATTTAATTGGTATTATCCATGGAAGTGAAGAGCCCGATTCTTGGGTAATGCTCGGAAATCATTACGATGCTTGGGTGTATGGAGCTTTGGACCCTAACTCAGGAACAGCTGTACTTGCTGAAGTTGGCCGATCATTTGCCCAAGCAGTTAAACGTGGATGGAGGCCGAAACGAACTTTGGTATTTTGTAATTGGGATGGAGAAGAACACGGATTAATTGGGTAAATAAAAATATTAAGTTTTTACAATTTAAAGTTTTACAATCATTTCAAGTTTTACAATTCCCTTTAAGTTTTACAATTTAGGTTTACAATTACGATTTCTTTTAATCAAAGTTTTACAATTTATTTAAATCTAAGTTTTAAGTTTTACAATTTATATCTTAAAATTTATCATGTTTTACAATTCCTCTAATTTACAATTATTTTAATTTTTACAATTTATTTACAATTTGAGTTTTAAGTTTTACAATCCTTCTAAGTTTTACAATTAGTATTTTATGTTTTACAACTTCCGGAAAAGTTGTTTCTAAACATATTAATGTTTTCCGGAATGTTTTGATGTTTTGGAAACTTTTTATTACTCTCTGGGTGTTCATATGTTTGTTGATAATTAATTTTTTCCAGAAAAACATTGATGTTTCAAAAACATTTAATTAATTTCCGGAAAGTTCTGATGTTTGCTAAAGCATTTTAAGTTTTACAATTCCCTTTGTTTTTACAATCCTTTTATGTTTTACAATTTCTCAAGTTTATTGTTTTTAGTTCTACCGAGTTTGTACAAGAATTTGCTCAAGTTTTACAAGACCGTGCTATTATTTATTTAAATGTTGATACAATAGCTTCTAACCAATCACTGTAAAAATATTAATTTTTTAATTTAAAATAATATTTTTATTTTTTCAAGTATTGTCAAAACAATTCCCTCACTTTTTTCTGCCGTTGTTTCCGCAGCTAAAAAAGTTCCAAATCCTGTCGAATCAGAACGAGCAAAAGGGAGACAAACAATTTACGACACTTGGAAAGCTTATTACCCACAAAAAGGGAATTATACCTGGCTTTCTCCAGATGTACCAGATATAGACTTACCTGGAGGAGGCACTGACCATATGTCGTTTCTCAATTTTTTGGGTATCCCTGTTGTTGATTTTACTTATCGAAATGTGTCGTGGGGCTCCTATCCACTCTACCATTCACGTTATGAAGTGCCCTTTGTTAATGAACATTTGTTTGACCATGACAATTTGTCGGTTAGTTTCTTGAGAAAAAAAATTTTTAACAGAAGAAAATTTTTTAATAGGTCCACAAAGCAATAGGCCAATACTGGGCAGAAATGGCACGTTTATTTGCTGATTCCCCTCTATTACCAATCAACGCTAGCTGTTTTGCTTTAACACTTGCAAACAATTATTTGCCTGGAATTGTAAAAAATTTGGACAATTTGCATGAAAAATGGCCTAAAGAAATGGGGCCAGCAGTCAAACAAATGAGAAATTTGTGGAGACAAACATGGCTGTTTGTTGGACAAACACAAAAATTTGAACAAGATGTTTATTCTGAAAGTGCAATGAATGCTGAATGGGCTAATAGAAGACTGCGTAAAGTTGACCAGTGTTTTGTAAATCCGTCAATGGGACTTGCAGAAAAAGAGAAGGAGAAAAGGTAACAGAAACTAGTTTTACAATTGTAAAACATTAATTACTGAAAGTGTTTTGGTAAATGTTTTGTTGTGTTTGTAGTGTGAGAATTAGTATTTGTTTTTCCGGAAACATTGAGAACTATTAAATGAACATGTTTTTATGAACATGTTTTTCCGGAATGTTTTTATTTGTATCTTTCCGTAATGTTCGTGTTCATGAACATTGTTTTCCGGAATGTTTTTAGACGTGTTTCCCAGAATATTTATATTAAATAACATGTTTTTCCGGAATGTTTGTATTTAATAAACATGTTTATATTTTAAACTTAAAGGCATGTGCTTTTTTCACTTTCGGATGCCGACACCTATTCTGCTTCTGTTATGTCAGCAGTCAACGAAAAAGTATGGCAAAATTAAAATAAAACATTTTTAACAGATTTATTAAAAAATATTTTTTAGATAACTGAATTCAAAAATGCCGCGGACGATAAAAAGCGTATTGAGATTGGCCAACAACTTGCAGTAGAATTAGCAGTTGTTCAATATTCTGTGCTTTGTGCAACGAATATACTTAAACCTTTTTACTAAATTAAATTAATTTAATAGAGATTTAAAAAATTTTGCAATTATTAATGGTCAATACAATTTTATTTATAAAAATGTAAACAAGACAAATATGTTTTTATTTTCCGCAAAACATGTAAAAATGTTTTGTTTGTTTCAACAAATGTTTCTAACATGTTCCGGAAAACATTCGAACATGTTTACAATTATTATTTTATTTAAACATTAAAACAACAACAATAAAAACATGTTTTAATTACATGTTTTTACGAAAAACAATCGAAACGAAAACACACGAAAACACAAACATACGAAAACACATGTTTTACAAGTTTACCAATCAAACAACAAAACTTTAAAATAAAAATAATTAAAACAAACAACAAAAAAAACATTTCATTGTTTTAATTGTGTTTTTCCGGAAAACATGTTCGAACACATGTTTTTACCAATTAAACAAGTTTACCAATGAAACTTAAAACAAAACAATTAAAACAAAACAACAATTAAAACAAACAAGAAAACAATATTCCAGTGTATTAGTTAAATGTGTTTTTCCGGAAAACACATCCGGAAATGTTTATAACATTAAACAAATTTGTGTATTTTCCGGAAGGAAAATACAAAAAACACAATTTTGCAACAAAACACTTGTTTATTTCTTCATTTGTTTCAACGAACTTTGTGTGTGTTTTATTATTGCGAAAACATTAAAACAACATTAATGACGATTTATTAAGTGTTTTTACAATTAAAAGGTTAGCAGTATATTAATTTTTATAATAAACAGCTTCTCAATCAATGAATAAGAGAAAATGCGTCAATCTTTTAAAAAAAGTTTTTATTTTAAGGGGATTTTTGTTGTTTTTATTTTTGCATTCCCTAAATATTTTTAGTAGTAGTAAATATCCAAAAAAAAAATTCTAAAAATATTTTTTATAGCTCATTCTTGTAATTTAATACTTGTAAAAATTTATTATTATTTTTTAAATATTTTTAAATATATCCCTATCTAATTTTCGTCATTTATTTTAAATCCCTCCTACGCTTTTTTAGTAATTCAAAGTCAAGTAGTATGTACATTTATTTTTTATTTTTGATTCGTCCTCCCTGATCGGAACTTATTTTTTTTATTTTTTACTATTTAGTATAGTTATTTGGTTAATTCCTTAAGGGAGGTAAAAATACTCAGATTAGGCTAAAAAATATTTTTTTTTAATAAAATTTTTTAGAAATTTTTATTTTTTTTGGTTATACATGGGCACAAATGTCCAAGAAATATTTCGAAAATTATTTTTGTAATTTTAAAAAAATTCAAAAAATTTTTTGATTATTTGAAAAAATTCTGAGATAAATTTTAAAAAATTTCCAAAATTTTTTTATGGATTAAAATTATATTTTTTATTTTTTTTCAAAAAATTTCTCTGGACTAGTATTCTATTTTTTCTCAAAAAGATTATTTTTTTTAATATCATTTTTTAAATTTTAAATATTTTAATTAAAAAATTTTTTTCCGCGCATGAATCGCATGTTTTCCAAGTCATTTGTTTAACATACACATTTTAAGACATTTGATCCCAAAAATGATTTATTAATTTTATTTAAAATTAATTTACTTAATTCATCATCTTTGAACCCTATTTTTAAATTATTTTTTAATTAGAAAAAATTTTTTTTAATTCCTTCAATAAATCAAAAAAAGTAGACATTTTGTCCCACTAATGAATTTAACAAATTTGGTCTTTTTTTATTAAATTAATTTTTTTTAATTAAAAAAAATTAAAAAAAATTTTCACACATCAAAACCAGTTTTTCTTTTTAAATTAAAAAAAAAAGTAGCACTTCAATCCATTTTATTTTTTTTAATATTTGATAATTTTCCCCTTTTATCTTTTATCAATCTATGCGGGGAGAGCTGATCTATTATTTAATTTTTTTATTTTTAGATTTTTTTATTTTATTTTTAGAGGGAAGATAAATATACCTAAATTTTGGGGGGAATTTTTATTAAAAAATTAAATTTAATTTTCAAAAAAATTTTTTTAAATAATTTTCCTCTCACAAAGAAGGGTGTGTGGGGGCATTAACTATACCTAATAGAGATCGAGATTTTTGAAAAGCCTGGACCTGTTCCTGGACTCTAGAGTTTGATTTATTGACTCGGAACGGATCCTGGGCCTGTATCCAGGAAAAACCCAGGAAGGTCAAAAAATGCTTGGACCTGGACTCTGGGTACAGGTGAAACCCACGTTTTGGTCCAGGTCAAGCTCGATCTCTAATACCCAACATAAGTGAGTTTCAACCGAAAAACATTTTTTCCCAAAATTTTTTTTATTTTTCTATACAAAACACCAATTCATTATTTAATCGTCAAAACAAAATCTATTATTATTCTATTCTTTAAAAAAAATAAAAAAAAAGAACGATTACCGCGTCTTGTGCGCAGTCATCTTCTTCACAAAATCTTCTTTTATTTGTCCTCTTCCTTAAAACAATTTATTTTTATTTTATCTCTCTTCTCAACAAAAAAAAAACAATAAAAACAACCAAAACATTTAAAGTTTCTTTATTCTGGTTTTTAATATTTTTTCTTTTATTTTTAAAGTGTTTTGTGTTTTTCTTTAAATATATCCCCAATACCTGCGCGGTTATTAATAGAAGCAAAATATAAAATACAATCAGAATTTTATAAAAAATATTTCAGAAAATATATATTTCGGAATTAATTTAAAAATGAAACACACATTAAATAAAAATCAGAAAAGAAAATACAAATTAAAAAAAAAGAAAATACATTATTAATAGGAAATCAGAATAAAACCAGAATTATAAATATAAAACACAAATTTAATATAAATCAGAACAAAAGAAAATACAAATTTGTAAAAGAAAATACAAGAAAATACAAGAAAATACAATCAGAATAAAACCAGAATCATAAATACATATGAAACACAGATTTAATAAAAATCAGAATAAATCAAAAACGCATTTCATTTAAAAATCAGAATTATTGCAAAATACAAAATTGAAATAAAACCAGAATTAATATAAAAAACACATTAAAAACCAGAATTAAAAATTTAATTCACTAATAAAAACACAAAACAATCCTATTTTATTTTTACAATTGTATTTTAATTTTTTATAATTTTTTTTCCTTTTTTTCTGTTTTGTACTTTAATTTAACACACTAGATTTATTTTTGTTATTTTTTATTTTTTGGTCATTAAGTTTATTTTTTAAATTTTAATTTAATTAGTCTTTATTTTATTTTTTTAAATTTAATTTTTTTACTTATAAAAGACTGAAATTAAAGTTAATTTAAAAAATTTTATTTTTTATTTTTTTTAATTTTTTTAAATTTGAGAAAATTTAAAAAATCAAGTTTTATATTATTTTTAAAATTAAAAAAAAATTATTTTTAATTTTAAAAATTATATATTTAAAGGACTCTTAATTTTTAAATATTCTTAATTTTTTTTAAATTTTATTTTTATTTTTAAAATTTTTTTATTTTCTTGAATATTTTTTCCCTTATATAATTTTGAACAACAATATAATTTTAAGAATTTTTTAATGAATAATCATTTCAAACATTTTTAATTTTTTGGAAATTTTAAGAATCCTAAAAATTATAATTTTGAAACAATTTATTTTTAAATAAATTTAATTTTTATTTTATTATTTTTCTAAATAAAATTTTGTTAAATTTTAATTCAAAATTTTGTTCCTAATTTTTAATAAATTTTTATTTTATTTTTTTTAATTAAATAAACACGTATGTCCACGTCTTTTAATGTTCAAATAAATTTTTTTTCTTTTTCCAAATATTTTTAAAAAATAATAAAAATGTGTCAAATACAATATTGTATCGTTTTGAAGTTGTTTATGAATGATATCATTTTTTGGAAAATTTTTTTAATTAAAAAAAAGAATTTTTTATATGAAATTTATTGTTAAGAATTTAATAAAACAAGCAAATGTTTAATTTTTAAGTTTTCCGGAAAAGTTTCAAGTTTACAATTATTTGTTTTTCAAGTTTTCCGGAAACATTCCAAGTTTGCGCTTATTTTAAGTTTTCCGGAAAGTTTCAAGTTTAATAATATTTCTATTTCTTCCGGAAAGTTGTATTATTCTTTATTTTAATCAAGTTTTCCGGAAAAGAAATATTTGTTTTTAACTTTTCCGGAAATGTTTGGAAGTTTTAATTATATTTTAAATGTTTTCCGGAAAATGTTTCCCCGAAAATGTTTTTCCGGAAAGTTTTTACAATATTTAATAGAACAATTTTTTAATAGTTAAAAAGCGGGGGTTGAGAAAAGAAATTAATAATTTTTTAATGCTTTTATATTTTTGCAATAAATTACAACAACTTTTATTTATTTAAAATGTAGCAATATATAAAAATACAAAAGGTTAAACTAAAAGCTTGAAATTAATTTTAAAATTTTTTTCTTTTTTATTTTTAATAAAAGAAGCATCTAAATAGGGGTGGGAGTATCTACTAGCCAAATAAAAAATAAAAAAAGAAAATTACTTTTTTTTTGGCATGACGCGAGCTTTATTTGTCATTTTCCGGGGTTTTGGATCTTTTTAAAAAAAGTTTTCCCCCTTCCTTTTTTTCTTATTTTTCTTCCTTCCTCTTCCAATAAATATAAAAGGGGGAGGGGGAAGTAGTAAGTCACTCATTTCTTAAAGCAATCATTTTTCTTGGGGTTTTAAATGACACGAATTTATAAATTTTTATTTGGGAGGATATTTCCTTTACTAGAAAAATTGTTAGAATTTTTTTAGAATTTTTAATAGCCCTTAAAATTGAGAAAATACCTCAAAATTCCCCTAAAATCCCTCTCAAATCCCCTAAAATTCATTTTTAATTAAAAAATGGCCATTTTATTAAAAAACAAATAAAAAACAATCAAAATAAATTTTAAAAAATTTAAATAATTTTTTAAAATAGAAAATTAATTCTAATAGAAATTATTTTCCATAAAAGGATTCGAACTCTCATCAGATAATTAATTATTTAAATAAAAAATGGCACAGTAACCAACTTAACCAAAAAATTTAAGCTTTAGATTAATTCAGGAAGAATAGTACCTCTTTAAATTAATTACAACTCGAGATTGGATTATCCAATTTAAACAATTTTGGACTTGTTTGATAGAGAATTAAATTCTCTACAAAACACAATTTAAAATAATATTTTAGATTAATTATAAAAATAATTATAATTAAAAAACCTAAATTTTTAACGAATTTTGAAGGTTTTTTAGTCTAAAAACATTCCTTCCTTCTTATTTCCTCATTTAAAATTTTTATTTTATTTTTGTTTTGTAGAGAATTTAATTCTCTATCCAACAATACTAAGAACGTTTAAAATAGTTCTTGTTTCAAAAAGCTATAAATTTTTGAAAACAGTCACCTCCTCTAATGTTTATTTAAGAAGAAAAAAATTAATTTTAACTAAAAACAATTAAAAATATTCTTAAAATATTTTTAAAATATTCCCTTGTTAATATTTTAATTCATTTTTTCTTTTTTTAAATTCTACTCCATATATAATTATTCATTTTTGATCAAAACCCCTATAATTATTTACAATTAAGGGTAATTAAAATCAAGTTTTAATAAAAAAACCTGTGTTGAATTATAAACTTTATTTTTTATTTAACACATCTTTGGACCTTTAATAGTAATTTTATTTATATTTTTAGAATTTTTATTTTTAATTGTTTATATTTTTAAAATTATTTTTTATTAAATTACTTCCTTCTTTTTTATTCCTATCTTTTAAAGAATAAATAACTGTAGAGTTTCCGGAAATTATTATAATTGAAAAATGTTGAAACTTTCCGGAAAAAGTTTAAAAATAAAAATGTTATAAACTTTATTTTTTATTTAACACATCTTTGGACCTTTAATAGTAATTTTATTTATATTTTTAGAATTTTTATTTTTAATTGTTTATATTTTTAAAATTATTTTTTATTAAATTACTTCCTTCTTTTTTATTCCTATCTTTTAAAGAATAAATAACTGTAGAGTTTCCGGAAATTATTATAATTGAAAAATGTTGAAACTTTCCGGAAAATTAAATTCTTTCAAAACATCAGAAACATAAAAACATTCCGGAAAAAGTTTAAATTATTAAAATGTTTAGGAATAAACTTTTTCCGGAAAATAATTTCTTCTTCTATGTAGTTCTCTTCATTTTAGCCTACTATTTTTTTCTTCCGTTTTCTTTATTTATTCTTCCCTTATCCTCTTTAATAATTATTTTTCACGCTTTATCCTTTCTCTATACAAATATTTTTTAATTTATTTTAATAAAATTTAATTTTTTTAGAATTTTTTCTCCTCAAACTCGGTCAAATAAAGGCAGTTTAAACGAATAATTTGACTGCAAAAATAAATTAATTAATTTTTTGTTGAATAAACACTTCAATTATATAAATACTCACAATCCCCAAGTTCCCCCAAAAAATGTTGCCATCCCCCTTTACAAATTCCTTCAGCCACCCTTTCCACAAATTAACAACTTGTTCTGTAACAAACTTGCCAAATTGTTCTTCAAATATTTTGAGGTTTTATCTGCTTGTGTTTGTATCATCTCAAAACTTTTTGTCATTAAATGGGTCACCGTCTATGAGGAATGGGGCGTCAATACTTGCAGGTAATAATTTTTAAGTTTTGCGGATTTTAAGTTGTGATTAAAATTCCAGAAAGCTTAGACATTTTTTAGTTATTTTAAATTATAAGGTTTCCGGAAATTTTATTCTCTAAATATCAAATAAAACAGACTAAAAATTTTCCGGAAAGTTATATTTCAATTATTAAGTTTTCCGGAAATTCATTCACTGACTAAACATTTTCCGGAAATATAATCTAATTATAATATTTCCGGAAAGTTTCGTCGAAACAAAAACATTTATTAAAAACATTTTCCGGAAAAAGTATAATTTAATGTCTTCCGGAAAATTATATTTTATTAATTAAAACATGGGCGATTTTATTAAATAAGATAATATATTCACCAAATAAAATAAAATTAAAAATTTTTTCAAAGATGATATAAATGTTAATAAAGAAATACACCGACCAATATATGAATCATCTGTCCATAAAAGAAAAACTACCCCCTCAAATAACAACAGCAATACACCCCTATCTCTAGTAGAGGAACATCCATTATTTCAACAACAAAGACAAAATGATCCTTTTCCTCCTAATAGAGAAGAATCTCAACAAGAAAATTCTGTTAATAATGTTGTCGAGGTTGATGCAAGTCCTGGTTTTGTTAAAGCGGCGGATTTGCTTAAACATTCTATTGATGAACGGGTAGATCCTTGTGAAGGTAAGAAATGTTTTCAATGAATTATTTCCGGAAAGCTTTGTGTTTTTTAATGTTTTGTATTTTTCTTAAAAAGTTTGTGTTATTTAATAGAAATAAACATGTTTTCCGGAAAGTTTTGTGTTTTAATAAAGTTTTGAACATTTTCCGGAAGGAATAAACATTTTCCGAATGAATAAACATTTTCCGGAAAGGAATAAACATTTTCCGGAAAGAATAAACATTTTCCGGAAAGTTTTGTGTTTTAATAAAGTTTTGAACATTTTCCGGAAAGAATAAACTTTTTCCGGAAAAAATAAACTTTTTACGGAGGAAATAAACATCTTCCGGAAAGAATAATTATTTTCCGGAAACAATAAATATCTTCCGGAAAGAATAATTATTTTCCGGAAGGAATAAACATTTTCCGAATGAATAAACATTTTCCGGAAAGGAATAAACATTTTCCGGAAAGAATAAACATTTTCCGTAAGGAATAAACTTTTTCCGGAAAAATAAACATTTTCCGGAAAGTTTTGTGTTTTAATAAAGTTTTGAACATTTTCCGGAAAGAATAAACTTTTTCCGGAAAAAATAAACTTTTTACGGAGGAAATAAACATCTTCCGGAAAGAATAATTATTTTCCGGAAACAATAAATATCTTCCGGAAAGAATAATTATTTTCCGGAAAAATAAACATTTTTCCGGAAAGAATAAACTTTTTCCGGAAACGTTTCAAAGCATTTATTATTCCTTTATCTTAATTATAATTTTATTTTTTAGATTTCTTCGATTTTGCTTGTGGTAAATGGGTTGCCAATAATCCAATACCTGATGATCTCGTAATAATTTTTAAAAATTTAAAATATTTTATTTAATTTATAGACATCTTACGGGCATTTTAGTGAATTACGAGAGAAAGTTAATCACGAAATGAAAACACTTTTTGAATCTCCAGACGAGCCAACCTCCGTAGCAATAAAAAATTTAAAAAGTTTGTATCACGGCTGTATGAACACAGAGGATTTGAATAGAAGGAATAGTTCAGAATTATTAAGGTAAATTTTCCGGAAAGGTTTATTCCGGAAATAATCTTTAATTCTTTATAGTCGAGTAGCAAAGTTTGGTCACTGGCCAATTATTTCTCCAAATAAATGGAAGGCGGAAGAATTCGATTTAACCGATCTTTTGGTCCACGTTGGCCGTTCTCGAGCTATTGACGTGTTTGTGGATGTTTATGTGTCGTTGGATCAGAAAAATGCTACAAGGCGTTTACTCAATTTTGATCAAGGGGGTTTGGGATTGGGGGCTAGTGCTCGAGATTATTATTTAAATGATACAAGATATGGGAATCAGATGGCGGCATATAAGCGTTATATGATTGAGAAGGTGAATAAATCGAAATTTTATTTTAATTATTAAAATATCGCGGAAATTGGTGGGGGTTACTGTCAACATCTTTCAGTCCAGTTGTCTTTATTAACCCACAACTTTTTCATTTTCTGACCATTCTGAATAAGTTATATACCAAACGAAAGCTCTTAATGTGCAGATTATTTTACCTAGCAAGGTTGTTTTGATTGGATAGCCATATAAAAAGTTATAGCGAAATAACTATCAAAAATCACGATTGCGCACACTTATACGGCTATAACTTTTCATACGAATATCTGATCAGAACAACCTTGTTAAGTAAAATAATCAGCACATTCAGGGCTTTCGATTAATGCAAAAATTATTCAGATTGGTCAGGTTTAAACAAAGTTATGCCCAAAATTTTGCCCTCGGAACTGGGCATCTCCTACCTATTACAAGTCTTTCCGGAATCACTTTTAAATATTTTCCGGAAACTTTAAACAAATATTTTCTATTCCAACAGATCACCTCATTCGCCAGAGACGCCGGCACTTATCTATCAGATCCGGATTATATTCCTAATGAAGTTGAAAAAATAATAAATTTTGAGAGGGAATTTGCACGTATATTAACACCAGACGAGGATCGAAGAAATTTTACAAAAATGTTTGGGAAAAATTTTTTATTCTAATTAAAAGGACATTTTAAGGTACAATTTACACCACCTCTCAGAAATGCAAAAAATTTTTAATTTAATGAATTGGACAAAATATTTTGATTGGTTAGTCCCTTCAGAGATGCACGAATATTTAAAATCTGACCCAGAAATAATTTTGGCTGAACCAGAATATTTTGATAGATTAACTAAATTATTAAATTCAACGCCTGATGAGGTGAAGGCAAATTATATTAATTGGAGATATGTTTCGGCTTGGTCTTTCCAATTAAGTGAAAGTTATGATGATATTCAGCAGCACTTTCTTAAATCATTTTTGGGCAAGAAGGCGAAGAGCCCAAGGTGGAAGGATTGTGCCTCAGCGGCATGTAAGTAGACTATTATTGTAATTATATTTTTCCGGAAATAAACTTTTTCCGGAAATAAACTTTTTCCGGAAATAAACTTTTTCCGGAAATAAACTTTTTCCGGAAATAAACTTTTTCCGGAAATTAACTTTTTCCGGAAATAAACTTTTTCCGGAAAACAATGTTTTCCGGAATTCTTCATTTTCTCACATGTTTTGTTGATTTAATTTTCCGGAAAGGTTTTCCGGTTGATTATAAGATTTAAATGTTTTCCGGTTATTTTATAAAAATTAAATGTTTTCCGGAAAGGTTTTCCGGTTGATTATAAGAGTTAAATGTTTTCCGGTTTTTTATAAAAATTAAATGTTTTCCGGAAAGTTTTAAAGCATTATTTTTCCGGAAATAAACTTTTTCCGGTTGTTTTATATATTCTCTCTCTTTCTCTAGCCTCTCGAATGAGCTATGCCAGCGGTGCCATGTATGTCCGTGCCCATTTTGACCGTTCTTCCAAAGAGGCCGCCTTAGCAATGATAGAGGATTTGAGGGCCTCGTTTAAAGCAATGTTGGCAGTAAATGATTGGATGGATCCGGGGACTAAAGAATATGCCTTGATTAAAGCAGAACAAATGCTTAGTTTAATAGGCTATCCAGACTTTCTCTATAACGACACACAACTGGACGATTATTATAAAAATTTTGATTTACATCCTAATGATCATTATGCTTTACAAGTAGAAAGAGAAAATAAAAAATAAAAATTAAAAAAAAATTAAAGGTAGAAAAGGCAAGCATTTGGTCACAACGCAAAGCCTTCCGTCGCCTAATCGAGCCAGTCGATAGAGAAGAATTTGGGACGAGCAGCGCTGTTGTTAATGCTTTCTATTCGGGTGTTAAAAATGCTATAAGTCTGTCTAGAATTTTTGGGAATTTTCAAAAAAATTAATTTTCTTTCAGCATTCCCAGCAGCCATACTTCAATCACCCTTTTTTGATCGAGATTTCCCCAAAGCTACAAATTATGGGTGTATTGGGGCGGTTATAGGGCATGAAATTACTCATGGATTTGATGACCAGGTAGCCATGGAGGGGAAGAAATAAAATTATTTTAAAAAATTTTTAAGGGAGCTCAGTTTGATGGCCGTGGAAATTTAAAGGATTGGTGGGACCCGCTAACCCAGAAACGTTTTGTGGAGAGAAAAGTAAAAATTAAAAAATTAAAATAAAAAAAAATAAAATTTAATTTTTCTCTTAAAAGAAATGTATAATTGACCAATATTCGGCCTTTTCTGTCCCCCAAACTGGACTTAAAGTTAATGGAATACTTACACAAGGAGAAAATATTGCTGATAATGGAGGGATTAAACAAGTAAAATTAATTAAAAAATTATTTTAAAAAATTTAAAAATTAATTTGAAGGCTTATGCAGCCTATCAGGCTTATTTACGCAAGCATGGTCAAGAAAAACGCCTCCCAGGGTTGGAAAAATACAATAATGAACAACTCTTTTTTATTTCATATGCGCAAACTTGGTGTGGTCATACAAAACCGGAAACTGTCAGTTTTTAAATTATTGTAATTAAATTAACGTTTGTGAAGTTTCCGGAAGGTTTACAAATTGTAAAAATGAGAGAAATTAGTTCAATTTGTAAAAGGAAAACTTGTTCCGGAAATTGTAATTCCGGAAAACAAGTTGCATAAAGGAAACCTTTCCGGAAAGTTTAAAATAAAAATTGATGAATTTACAAATTGTAAAAGACATTTCCGGAAAAGTTCACAAATTGTAAACGGAAATAACAAATTGTAAAAATACGCTAATTTACCTATAACTTTTCCGGAAGGATTACAAATCGTAAAAGGAAACATTTTCCGTAAAGCTTAAAAAATATAAAATTAAGAGACTTATCTTTCAGCCTTTTCTGGAAAAATTACAAATTGTAAAATTACGTAAATTATTTAGACTTTTCCGGAAAGTTCGCAAATTGTAAACGGAAATAACAAATTGTAAAAATACGTTAATATATCTTTAACTTTTTCCGGAAGGATTACAAATTGTAAAAGGAAACATTTTCCGGAAAGCATAAAAAATATAAAATAGAGATATTTATTTCTCAGCCTTTTCCGGAAGGTTTACAAATTGTAAAAATACGCTAATTTATTAAATACGCTAATTTATTTTCCGGAAGGATTACAAATTGTAAATACTTACTCTAGATTTTTCCGGAAGGTTTACAACTTATAAAATTAAGTTACTTATTCTACACTTTTCTCAAAAGCTTACAAAATATATAATTGAGTATTTTTCAGTCTTTTCCGGAAGGGTTACAAATTGTAAAACTAAGTTAATTATTCTATACTTTTCCGGAAAGGATTACAAATTGTAAAAATAAAACTTTTTCCGGAACTTTTACAAATAATTACCTAATCATTTATTTCCAGTTAATCCGACAACTTCTGACTGACCCCCACTCTCCCTATCGTTACCGAGTTAACGGCGTAGTTGTAAATCAACCAGAATTTACAAATGCATTTAAATGTCAAGAGGGTGCAGCAATGCGTTATTCTGAAGAAAGGAGATGTTCTGTTTGGTAAAACAAGGAAGAAATTATTTTGTTGAATTTTTTTGTATATTTTTTTAGGATTCCCTTATCCACTTCCCTTCCTTTCCTCTTCATTCTCTCTCTATTTTTATGCCTTGCCCATTTTTTGAATTTTTTATTTGTAAATCTTTTTTCCTTCTTAATTTTTTAAATCCTTCCCCCCTTTCTGTTGCAATATACTTTCCATAAAAATAAAAACGAAAAACTTCCTCCAATATATTGTTAATTTTTTAAAAATATTTGAGATAAATGTACACTTTTTTTTGTAAATTTAAATAAAGGAACTAATATAAAATATTATTATTACATGATAAAGCAACAATTTTTGTTTTACAATTTGTTCAAAAAAGTTTTTAAACTAATTGACGTTCTGGTTCTTTAGGCGAATCTGTCCATGCAAATTTAAGAAATACAAGTAAGCTGATAAGATTTAAAAATTGAAAAATTATAAGACAAGCATAGTCCAATTTTACAAATATTCTAGCCCATTCAGATTCAATCTAAAAAATTTTTTCAAAAAATTTTTTCAATTTATTTTTCACCTTTTCACGAGTTTTATCTTTCTCAAGTCTCTTTCTAAAGCCTCTCTGAGTTTCTACTACAAATCCAAGCATTGTTCTAATTGTAGATAATTCTATTGTAAGATGTTCAAAAAATAGTGGAATATTGGATATACTTAAAAATTCATATGTATTTTGAATTTAATTTTAAAAATGTGATTTTTATATCAATCGAAAGCTCTGAATGTGTGGAATATTTTACTTAACAGTATTGACATAATCGGATCATTTTACAAAAAGTTACAGCCGGAAATGTGCGCTCAATCGTGATTTTCGTCATTTATTTGACTATAACTTTTAATATAATGATCCAATCAGGATAACCCTGTTAGGTAAAATAATCTCCACATTCTCAGCTATCGAATGATACAAAAATTGTTCAGATCCGTTAAGAATTTAGAAAGTTATGATCCAAAATATTCCTTTGAAACTGCTATAGATAGAGTATTTTCATTAAATATTAATTATTTTCCGGAATTGTATTCTTTCCGGAAACATTAAAAAAATTAATTTAAAAATTAAAAAATTAATTTTCTCACTCAATATTTGTCGTTGTAGCCCTTCTCTTTTTATTATCACCATTAAAATTATCCTCAAGTTTAGGTGACAGACGACGATTATTATTGTTTAATACCCCATTTTTGTTGTTTAATCTTTCTTTTGTTTCCCCAAAACTTCCATAATTATTTTTATTTTCTTCACAATCCCCTCCCTCCCCTCCCTCTTCTTCCATATAAGGCTCGGTAAACCGAATTCCTCCAATAAACAATTGTTCTCTCAACGACTTTCCTCTATTTAACAATAATCCTTCCCCTTCCTCTTCTTTATTTATCCTCTTCAAGTCTTTGGTTCTTTTTATCCTCGGCCTAACCAAAGACAGTTTATATGTTAATTGACTGGGGATACGCGCCCCTTCTACATAACGCTTTGAAGAAGCCATAAATGCCATTGAAATGGCTACCGATATAGCACAGAGAAGGATGACGACAAGTATGTAGACGCCCAAAAGGGGAATTGAGTTTGATTTGGGCATTGCCTGTAAAATTGTGTAAATGTTAATATTGAGGTGAGCGACTGTCGTGTTCTCATATGTCACGTTCTAAAATGTCGTGTCCATAAATGTATGTTCATAAGTGTCGTGTCCGCAAACATCGTGTTCGCAAAGGTCTTATTCGCAAAGGTCTTATGTCTGTACACATAGGGGCTATTCACAAATGTTATGTCCACAAATGTCGTGTTCTCAAACGTCGTTCCGAAGATGTCTATTCAAACATGTCGTGTTCGCAAATGTTAAATAATTAAAACTCACCCCAGCAACAATTCCAAGCAGCACAGTCATAGCCAACAAACTTCCTAATCCCAACGAGACTTTTTCCCCTCTCGGTCCATCACTCGATCCAGGTGTGAAAATTCCAAGAATTGACAATGTCGAAATAAGGAATATAGGCACTACAATTACCGTTATATAAAATATTGGGCGTCTAAAAATTTTTTTGAGAGAAATTTTTGTGTGTAAATGGGGCATTTTACCGTCTCAAATGGAACACATATTGCACCTATTTTAATTAAAACTTTAATTTAAAAAATAAAATTAAAAAATGCCTCAGATCTGTATTCCCCCTCCTCCAAATAATGCATATCCCGAACTGATACATTTATTAAATTCCATTCTGAATTGCCGGCGAAATGGCTTTGTAAGGGTGGTTGGCTTGTATGGACCTTTTCAAAAAGTTTTTTAAAAAGAAATTTTTCAAAAATTTCCCGAAAACAACCTCCATTTCTTCGACTGTCAATAAAGGCGAAGCTAATGCTACCGCACAAAATTGAGTGTCAAAAGGGAACAGTTCAATGTTTAAACGACAAGTGCTACAAACGAAGGAATAGTTTTAATTAAATTTAATAAAAATCTCATTATAAGACACCTTTAGGGTTGAAAATCGTATCCTACATAGAGGTTGACTTATGTAGAGGTGTTGCTTATAAAGAGAGTATCTTATATAGAGAAACCTTATTATATGTACATCCTAAATAGAGGGTATCTCTTATATAGAGGGTAACTTATATAGAGCATCTCTTATATAGGGGGTATCTCTTATAATGGGGTATCTTATATAGAGGTATCATTTAAACCACCCCCCTTCCTAGATAGAGGTGTCTCTATGTATCTTATAATGATGATTAACCATAAAAACTTACCAAGTAACATACTGCGGAATATTGATCTTTATCTTGAAAAATTTCAAAAAATTTCAAAAAAAATTTTCAAAAAACTTGTCCATTATATTTCACTCTAGCATCATATTTTTCATCATTTAACATATCTTTTGTATCCATAGAATTATATACAAATATTTTGGGTTGCCAAATTGTTTTTGCTGGCACTATTAATTCTGTGATGTTTGAGTGAATTTTGGGTAACCAGGAAAGGCGGCTGTCTCTCCAGCGCTGGATGGGGAAAATTGAGAATTATTTCTAGGTAAAGTGAATTTTGACATTTTAACATTAGTAACTTGGACATTTTGGGCATTTTGTCCTTTAGGCATTTTGTCGTTTTGACATTTTGTCCTTTAGACATTTTGTCCTTTAGACATTTTGTCCTTTAGACATTTTGTCGTTTTGACATTTTGTCCTTTAGACATTTTGTCGTTTTGACATTTTGTCCTTTAGACATTTTGTCGTTTTGACATTTTGAAACTTAAGATCTTTCGACATTTTAACTTTTCGACACTTTGACATTTTACAACTACAGTATATTTATTTACAAAACTAGAATACAACACAATAATACAATTACAAACTATACAATACAACACAGTTTTAGAACAAATATATATTTATAGACATCACAACATATACACAAACACACATCTACTTATTTATTTATCCCTCATCTCTTTCATTTCTTCCCTCCTTTCTTTTTACTCGTATGATATGCCGATCCCAGCTCCAACTTTGAATAGTCCTTATCCATCTCCGCCCATTTCAGCGCCGCTTTTGCATCAACCTCCATCTTTTCCATTTTGGATTTGAGAGTGAAGAAGAGACAAATGAAGACAATGGCGAGGATTGTCCTTCAAAGAGAAAAGATTTAAAGCAATTTAACCCTTAAAACTCACATCAAAAGAGCAATAAAACCAAGAACAACCAACACAATGATGATTGAAGTGCCAAGCGGACAGTCTTCCTCAACCTTCGTTTCTGGTTTAGTAGTCTTGCCCTCATCAGTCGTCTTCTTGTCGCCTTTGTCCTTGTCTTTACCGTCTTCTCCCTTCCCTTTGCCTTCTTTATCTTTATCCTTCTCTTTCGGCTTTTTGGGCGAAGTGGCGTCGGCAACAAACAGAGTGCCAAGTAGAAGAACCACAACAAAGAGACAGAAGATTTTGTTGTAGATTGATCCTGTAGATGAGCGACGGAAGAACATTTTTTGTTGTTTTTGTTGTAGAAGGTTGTTGGAGGTGTTTGAAGTTTTTGTGGACGAAGAGAGGGAAAAGTGTGAAGTTGAAAGCTTTTTATAGTAAGTTTTTAAGGCGGCTTTTATACGGACAGGTTTCATTGTCTTTTCCTCTAAATTTAAATTTAAAAACAGAAAATACAAAACTTGACAACTTGAAAAACACTAACACATTAAGAAAACAAAGTAAATATGTCGTGTTCGCAATTGTCTTGTCCACAACTGTTGAGTTTACAATTGTCGGATACGCAATTGTCGAGTTCACAAAAGTCATGTACACATTTGTCGGGTTTACAATTATCATGTTCGCAAATATCGTGTCCATAAATATCGCTCTAGTAAGTGTCGTGAGTATTCAAATGTCGTATACACAAATGTATGTATTATCCAAATTAATTGTGTTTTTTATTCCGGAAAACAATTATGGGGATATTTTACAATTAATTAAGACTTTCCGGAACAATAAATCAGGAAAACTTATTTAAATTAAACAATTTACTTGAATATGAGAAATAACATAAGCAGCAACCTGTTCATTTTCTCTCTTAAAAAAATTTTAAAAATTTCAAAAAAAAAAATTTTCCCAAACCATTTCAATTAAAATACCCAAAACTATTGTTACGTTAATATGCACAGTTTTTGAGTATTTATTTTCTCCAATTGGTTGGAGTCTTTTATCGTAATTGTGGAATAATTCGCTGAGTAGGCGTTGATGTGGAGAGGAAAAATCTTTTTAAAAAAAATTTTTTTGAAAAAATTTTTTCTTCTCAAAATTACCTCCAAAATTAAATCCTTCAATCCCTCTCCATAAAAACCAAAATTGAATCATTGGAAAAATTAGTAACAATTTTGTAAGGCGATATAATCCAAACAAGGGACTTTTTATTTGGGTAATAAGGGCATTGTTTGTGGATTTCATCTTGAAATAGATTATTTTTATAAATTAATTTCACAGAAATAAAACATCGTTAAGTCAGTAGAATGAAGTAGAGTAGCAACTCGACCTCCGAACATGCCTTCCCCGGCAAACCCCGATTCGCGAGACATCCGCCCCCGAAGGGTCGGGTTGCTACCCTAGAATGAAGGTTAAAGGTTCTTTTTCTTCCTCAGTCAGAGACAAAAAATTTAAAATAAAAGCAGTGGGGATTGGAGGGAGGGAAGATCCCGTGCCTTAATTGTATGCAGATTGGCAAAAACCCTGGTAAAAACCGGGAGCTGTGCCCATTTAAGGGTAAGAATCTTCTCGCACTAATCCATAACACATGTTAAAAGGGTAGGTTAATCTCTACCTCGTCCCAAAGGCACGCCGACACGTCCAGAGGGACTATTAGTAAATTAAGGAAAGTAAGGGGAAGGGAAGTTTATCCCACCGCCTTTTTGGACAAATTCGACTGTCAATCAGCTTTTATAAAAAAAGGAAAAAATCTATATTTACTAGAGAAAATTTTGAATATAAAAAATATGTCAAAAAAAGGACAAATAAATAAAAATAAAATATAAATTGAAAGCGGAAATTAAATAAAAAAAGGAAAGTGTGTTTAGGACATTTAAAATAAAATAAATATTTTTTTGAGGAGAAAAGGGTTAAAAGTTTAGAAAATATGTTTGAAAATTGAACATAAAAATACGTTCAATAATAAAAATATGTTCAATAATAAAAATTGAACATAAAAATAGAAAAAAAATTTTCAGCCAAAAAAATTTTTTCCTTCCCTCAATTAGAATCACTGCTAGTACGTGGTGGTCCTGTTGAAAGACTTGTTGTGGTTGTATCATCCCCCTGATCAAAGTCAGGGATATCATTAGCGAGAAGAGCGGGGAAGTTAAAATGATTATCCTCTTCATTATCCTCTTCCTCTGGATCTTCAAAATTTTCGACTTGGGGGATTTGCTCATCTTCGTCATCTTGTTCTTCTATATTGTGTTGCCATTCATTATTTCCCCATTCTTCATTATCATCCCATCCTCCATATTCTTCATGAAGTTGATCTATCTCGTCTGGTACAACCTAAATATTGAAATAATCAAAATACCTCGTTATAATGGCATCCTTGGGGCCTACACTAAAATTAGTTGTATGGTACGAGGGGTTATCTAAAGTAGTATTAAAAAACCTGGCTGATACACCCCTAGTATGGAGGTATACATATCGCTTAGACCTCCTTCCAATTCAGTCTCTATACAAGTGGTTTACTCTTTTTCTTAAAAAATTTACATTATGTTGAGGCTGATGAACGATATTGGCATCTTCATCTTCTGTGCTACAACAACAACCACAATTTACAATTTTAATAATAAAAACAAAAAATAAAAATAATTGAATTAATTTAAATAATTTTGTTGACATTTTTTAAATTTTTTAAAATTCTTTTTTTGCTTTCTAAAAAATTTTATGAGGGTTTTTAATTATGCGATTAGCCAAAAAACAATTTTTTATCATTTTCCCGACATTAACAAATAAAAATACCCGGAAAGGAATCGAACTCGCACCCCTACCACCCACTCACACAACATTAAACCACTACACTAACGATTTAAAAAATAAGACTCCCATTAATGCTAATGAGTAATTAAATAATTAAATTAATTTAAAATATTATTTAATTAATTATTATTTTTATTGGGGGAAAATAATATAATTAAAAAAAATTTTTTTTAATAAATTTATTTTTAAAAATTTTTTAATAAACAAGGCAATTTAAATATTGAATTAAATTTCTCAATTAAATCCTCTCTCCCTTCTATTTCCTTCATCTATTTCTTTATTCAATTTAAAATTTCCTTAACACCCCCCCCCACTATCGTTAACTCTAACAGCAAGGCTGCTTCCTGTGCACGCTTGTAAATAATTTTAAAAAATTGATTGATTTGGTTTTTAATGTCCAATTTTTTAAATAAATTAATTTGTTTAATTTAAAAAATTTTTTTAAAAAGTTGAAAAACATGGGAATATTGACTTTATTTTATTTTATCATTTTCCTTTGAAAAATCAAACCCAGAGAGGCATCGAACCTGCAACCCCAACCACCCGCTTACTAGGGATGTTCGAGAGTCGAAAAAAGCCGAGAGTCGAGACCGAGAGTCGTCTCAATTTTCTCTTCCTTTTCCTCTTGCGCCTTCCATCTTTCGCTCACTTTTTTTCCTCTCTACCATCATTAGGGGGTGTGTCTTTGGAACCGGTTCCACGGTACCGGTTCCAGACCTTTGCCGGTTCCACTTCCAGTTCCGGAACCCCCGCATCACTGCCAGCCTAGTACTATCAAAAAAAATCGGCTGCCTTTAGAAAATTTTATTACAGACTTGAAATAAATGAATACAAGGTTAAATTATTTAAAAAAATTTTTTGTTAGATATCCATAAATCTGATATTTTTCAAAAAACTTGAAGACATCTTTTAATTCTGCCTCATTCCTCAAGGGGAAGAACTTGTTGTACTTCCTCTTGTACTTCCTCCTAGTGGTGTAAATCCTGGGGTTGTTGTATGAGTATGTACTTCATCAAATCCTTCAACCTCATCAGCGTCTTGAAGTAATGGAGGCAAGTTTTGTTCTCCAAGATTTGCAAAAAATTCAAAATCCTCTGGAGCAGCATGGATTTCATTATCATCTTCTTCTTCATCCTCTTCCTCGTCCTAAATATTAAAACAAAAATAAATATGTACTTCAGTGCCTCGCAAATTTGTTCAAGCCCTCCCTCGAAAGAATTTTTATGACTTTATTTTCTGGATTTATTTCTGGTACCGTTATAACAGAAGTAGAGTTGTTACAAAAAAATCTTAGCTGTTATCCTTGCTAGGATTGCGGATCATGGAATCACTTATAACCAGTGCTTAGACCTCGTACCACCCCATTTTTTACCTCGTACCAAGTACGAGGTAGAGTAGAAATTTTGGTATGAGCGTCCAAGCACTGCTTATAACCAAATTCAGATCTGATATCTAAGCCAAGCTTTAATTATCCGAATCGTCCGGCTCCGACATTTTTAAATACTTGGAGCTCCCTCCAAGTATTTGAACTCTTTGGCTCCGTGCTCTAGTTATGACTTTAATTTCTGGTGCCATTTAACCGGAGTCAGGTACATTTAATGAAAAGTTTACTTGGTTTTGATCAAAATGTTGTACGGGTTGCTGATTTTGACCAAAATTTGGTTCTGCTCCAACATCCAAAATAAAAATTTAAAATTAATTTGAATAAATTTACTATCACATACCTTCATTATCGTTATCTTCTAAAACATCTCCACTGCTACAACCACATCCACAATTTACAATTTTAATAATAAAAACGAAAAATAAAAATAATTGAATTAATTTAAATATTTTTGTTGACATTTTTTAAATTTTTTTTTGCTTTCTAAAAAATTTTAAACGAGCTTTTAAATATTTCCACAGGCAAAGAATAATTTTCTACAACTTACAAATATTTTTAAAAATTAAAAAAAATTTTTTTTGCTTTTTAAAAAATTTTAAGATAGGTTTTAATTGTTCCGATTAACTAAAAAACAATTTTTTATCATTTCCCGACAATAACAAATAAAAATACCCTTAGAGGCATCGAACCTGCACCCCCAACCACCCTCTCACACAACATTACACCACTACACTAACGAGTAATTAAAATATTTAATTTAAATAGTATTTAAATTTTTTAAATTAGACTGCTTTATTAGATGGATATAAGTTAAAAGAATTTTTTAAATGATTTGGGAGCGTACCCTTTGGGTGAGCTTATACCCTTCAATTTTTAATTTTCCCTCTCTCCTCCCCAATAAAAATACTTTAACATTAAGACGATTTCCGTTTGCCACGCTTCTTTCTATAAAAGAATTTTTAAATTGATTAAATTAGATTTTTAATCGCTAATTTTAATTAAACAAGAATTAAAGCAACTTAAAATAAAAAATTAAATAAATATTTTTAATAGTTTTTTAGTTCAAAAATAATAAAAATTAATATTTTGGGTGTTTTTAACCTTTAAAAATTTTTTATATTCTCTGAAAAAAATTCTTTAAAAGTTTTTCTAGCATTGTAATACACTAAAAATAATTTTCTACCACTTTACTAACCTTAATAAATAAAAATGCCCGGAGAGGCATCGAACCTCCACCCCCTAACAACAGTAAACACAACACTAAACCACTACACTAACCAGTAACTTATTAATTTAATTTATTTAAAATATTTTTTAATTAATTATTATTTTATTACGGGAATATAATTTAGAAAAAAATTTTTTAAATAAATTTGTTTCTTAAAAATTTTTGGCAATTGAATTTAAATATCCGATAAAATTTCTCTATTAAATTCCCTCTCCCTTCTATTGCCTTATCCAATTCCTTGTTAATTTTTAAATTTCTTCACCCCACCCCCCTCCTCAATAACTTCTCCCTCCTCCTCCTCGATAACTCTAACCGCAAGGCTATTTCCTGTTGCAACGTTTTTTTATTTTTTAGTGTCAAAAAAATTTTTTTTAATTGATTGATTTGGCTTTTCAATTGCCAATTTTTATTTTATATTATTTTTTTTATTTAATTTTAAATATTTAAAAATTCTAAAAATTCAAGTTTAGATAATCAAATTAAAGCAAATCAACATAAAATTGAATCAACGATTTTTCTCTACTTTTTTAATTTAAAAATTAAATAAAAATTAATTTTTTGGGTAGTTTTAAGTAATTTTTTAATTTTTAGTTTTTTTTGTGTCCTTAAAAAATAATAAGAATTTTCTAGCGGTTGTAATACACTAAAAAATAATTTTCTACAACTTTTCTAACATTAAAAAATAAAAATACCCATCGAGGGATCGAACCTTCACCCCCTAACAATAGCAAACACAACACTAAACCACTACACTAACGAGTAAATATTGAAAGTGTTTATAAGAAAATTTACGGAGCCCTTTCCCTCCACTTTTACTACTAA